GAGCCGACACTCGGTAATAAATACAATAAAACGTTACCAATTAGGATTGGGGGGGGGGGAACCCCATGTAGCATAGACCTCACAAAATTCATGAAACACACCCAACGAAAAGTATTATAGCGTTTGAACACTTAAGACAGGGTCAGGGACTCTTCCCAGCATGCTTTGCTCGACAGGGATGAAGCATTCCAAGAATATTTATCATTCTGCCAAAGAAAAAACACCACCATCAAGCATTGACTTAAAAGAGAATTACAACTGGGCTGTTGTCTTTATAAACCAACACAAGTATCTGCGCCTGGCATTTTCAAAAATTAATCTTCATAACTGTCTTGGGCCGACCGTGCAGATGACAAGACTTGCATGGGTCTGAGGCATTAGTGAAAACTGAAAGATAGAGGAATGGTTTGTGTCATGCCTGGTTCTCTAAATATCTTTATTTCAGAGCAGCGCAGATTTGCTCAGTCACAACACTATTTTAAACATACTGCCAAAGAACAAACCAGTCCAGCCACATTTTGTGTGTTATGGGATTTTACAAGGATTAGGGTCAATTAAAAAAAAGGTAATGAATTAACATAAAATAATCTGATCCCTGGAATGAAAATTATCCCCCTAACTAAGAGGAACTTTAATTTGCTGCTGGATACAGATCTGCCATCTTAAAACTGTCCAAAGCCAACAGAAAACAAGCTCCAACGACTGAGCTGAACAGGGAATGACGCTTAAATGTGTCTAATACACCAGGAGGGGGCTGCTCCGAGAATGGGACCCCGCTCAAAACTCCAGACTAAGGGGTTAGGGTCACAGGTTTAAGACGTCAGAAACAAAGGCATTCGGTGTACACAAATTCAGACAACCAAAGGAAATGGATCTGACCAGAGGTTCAGACAAAGGTTTTAAATCCTGCCTATTTAGAATGAACGTTAGACAAAGTAGTAAAAATGCCTTTCAAATGCAATTAACGTGCCTTTTTTCCTGGGAAAAAAGGACTGTATACCCCTAAGCACTACACAGCCCAAGAGGAAGAAGAGAAATGTGGTAAACTGAGGAAGAGGCCTATTCTGAACAGCGTGTCTCCACAGTATGTCTAAACAGTCAAATACTAAATTCCAATAGTAAAAATGATCATAAGCAGTTAATTACAATCTTTAAAAAAAACACACAACATTGGGGGCATTTATAAATTCACAACAACCAGGTTTTTCTTCCAATACAAAAAAAGTGAAGAGGTGACATTAAAAAAAATAAAACAAAAAAAAGTGTACAGGTGCCAATAATCTCACTCTGCTTCGGAGGGGAGAGGAGACCAGGGGGAAGGTGAATATCTCTGACGGGTCGCTACGGCAACTCGGCAGAAACAACGCGCTGCACCTGACCCCCTCCCAACCAATCAGAGCACAGCATGACAGGTCCCCAGAAGGGGTACTTTTTTTTGCAGCCAGATACATCTGAAATAATTAAAGTTCATTCAGAACCAAATACTTAACATGATCTGGTGGGGGGTGTGGGTGTGTTTTGGTGGGACGGGGCGTAGACGATGACAAGGTGCAAGGTCATTAGAACTCCTCTTGGTCCTCTGACTCTGCATCCGGTATGACAAACCCCTCCTGCAGGAACAGGATGGCTCAGATGAGGCGTTACACAAAGCATACAAGCGTCACTTTCAAAATAAGAGTCTGATCCACTAGCCATCATTTACTTTAAAATGATTTCTGTTTATTACTAATTTTCATTTACAGTCCATTTTGTATTTACATTAATCTATTGTTGTATTTATGTTTTTTTCTGTGCCACTAGTATCACGGTATTTTTAGGCAGAACAGAAATGCACAGTATTTTCTATGAAAATGTACCAAATGGTGAATTTTAAATGAAAATTTTGATATAATTCCTCACCGTTACCCATCAAATTCCCTGTGAGACTCTAAATGGTTTCATTTTATGTTGTGAATTCTGGGATTCTGTGCAACGTCACGACAGAAACTCCCATGCTGCTTACAGCCTGGAAGGAATACTACAGAGTCCCAATTTTAATACATGATAGAAGTTAAACATAAATGGGAATGTGTCATCTTACATTTCATTTTGCAAATATACTGATGTACGATAAACGTTCAATACATCACCCAGGTCAGGGATCAATAGAGTTCTATCTTATCTTATCTTATCTGTGCAACAAAACCTAAAGACAGCATTGAAAATTGTTTCCACAATGATGTTTAAGAACAGCATCTGTTGTGTCTGGATGAAACTGAACCATTGAGAGCAGAGCATTTATCCCGCTGCTATACTTACATCTGTGGCATAAAGAATGTCCACGATCCTCTGCAGGGTTGGGTCACACTCGCCCTCCTTCTCCTGGCATATCAATTCAATATTCCTTAGCTTGCCAAAGTAAAAATCTCTCTCCTTCTCCATGTCCTGAATGGTGGACTTGAGAATATTTATCTGGAGGACAGAATATCTTGTTAAAGGGACATGCCGCTTCTCCGAGACCTTCCAATATTATAGTGGCGTTAAAGGGGAGGCCAAGGCATTCCACACCTCCTGGATGAGCTCGGCCCTGTCATCATCGCCGCCTCCCATCCCTGGCCTCCGTGCCGAACTGGGGGCCATCTTGGGAGTGGTCTTGGGAACAGCCGCCGATCGCTGGGGAGCTGGACAGCAGCCAGAGGGGTTGGGGGAGGGGGACACAGGGCAAGTAAGACAACGTGGGCCAGGACTGCAGAACAAAGTGGGGGGAGGGGCACTTCCACCAGATTCATCGTTCATTAAACCCCTGAGGTGCTGTGCTGCTGGTATCCAAGGCGACTGCCACAGCAGGCATTTCTTACAGAGTGCAACGTTTACCAGAGCAATCTGGGTTAACTAGCGTAGTGGTTCTCAACTTGCTCCTCTGGCATCCCCAGACGGCTCACATTTTCGCTCCCTGCCAGACAGTCCACGTTTTGGCTCTGGGAGTCTGAAAAACACTGAAGTAGCAGTCTCGGACCTGAACAGCAGGGGGCGCTACCACTCACCTCAAAACAGGCACCATTTCTAGCCAGGTCTAAGCACCAGAACAAGGAAAAGTGTGCTGTCCCCTATAGACACAGTTCCTCCGGGAACCACCACTGCCCAACGTGTATCTTCAAAAAAAAAAAATACCACCCCTATAAGTGGGACATGCCAACTCCCCCCACACAAACTAACAAGTGTGAGAGCCCAAAAACACCACGGGTAAAAACGGGAAACCCACAGTGACCCCAGTGCAGGGAAACTGCCCAGCAAGGAGCTACGGACTGACTGTACCAATCAATGCAGCGGGCTTGGGCACCTTTCTAGGAGAGAGTCGGACCTCTGCAATACATTAAGAGGCAGCAGTAAGTCCATTACTCAGCTTTTGGAAATGGCTCAGGACACCAGCTGAGAGCCGGCTGTCATTGGCTCAAAGTTTAGTTTCCTCAGCGAATCGGGTTACAAAAAAGCAGACAAGTGACAACAAGGGCTCCTCTACTAGCCTGATCTGTCTTTATGGTCCATGAATGTTCTTATGTTACCCTTCTGGTCCTTGAATAGTTTTATTATGCTCCTGCTTTGTCTGAAGTTGTTGTTTAACTCCTGCTCCTATAACGCTCACACACATAACTGGGCTGAACTCATGCCCAGTGGACTCACCAAAAGTCGTTCGTTTGTAATGTGCTATTTGTCTGACTTGTACATCGCTGTGGACAAAAGCATCTGCTAAAAATAGGCAAACTGGGAACTAGGGACACAAACATTTTCTAGCAGGATTAGTAGCAATAACAGTGACCTTTGTCCACCAAATAACTCAGAAAACAAGCAGACTGGTTTGAGACAGACATCTGACTCAGGTTCACTTTAAAAACCGGCGCCGAACCCAAGTCCTGTTCAAACATTGACCGCATCCAGCTTGGCTCTTTTCTGACGCTGCATGCCCGAACAGGCACGTCCCCGTGAGGAAAGCCACGCAGCGGTGCCCAAGTCGGGCAGGGCACTAACCGGTGTTGAGCACCTTCTTCGGCTTGTTCAGGGCAGGCACTGCGGAGTTGGGCATGGGCACCGTCTCCTGACCCTGGCGAGCTTCAACTGGGTCATACTCCTTCCCGTCATAGTTGGCATCGAAAAACTTCTTGAACCACTGGACAAACTCAAAGTTATCCTGGAATTTCCCCTTCACCAATTTGTCAACAGGGATAATCTGGGGAGAGAGAGAGAGAGAAAAGTATGGAGAGTAATTATGACAAGAGTTCCCATTTGTCATGTGACCTACGTCTAAATAATAATAAAAAAATATATATATAAAAATAAAGATGAAGTATTCAGGAGGCAGATCCAGACCAGCATGTCAAAGAAATTAAATAACACGGCAACAGGCTGTAAAGCAAAGTGAGCCTCAGATATTAAAGGACCATCGGATAAATTACATGATCGGCAGCAAATGTGAATGACGGGCTGCTCCGCGTGTCGTGACTGAAGTTAAACACCCCTAAAACTGAAGACACCCCTAAGCATGAGGAACAAACCACCTGCATATTTCAGACACCACTCCCGCCAATACTTAGACAATATTCCACAGATAACAGCCACTTCATAAAAAGTTTGTGATCAAAGGTCCAAAGGCAATAACCAGGTAGAGCTTCAGAGCTGGGAAAATAAACCTCCCAAGAGAATAGGAGCTTATGTAAAGCTGAATTCACAAAAAAAGCCACAGCCTGCGTGCGCAAGAAGATATAAAATCGATGATTACTGACCTTATCTACACCCATCTTCTTGAACCCAGCTTGCAATATTTTAAAGTTGTGGATAAACTCGTGTTCCAGTTTGGCCTGAAATTTGACTTTTTTCAAAGGCACACAGCCGGGAAACAGCATATCCATAAACTGGCAGTAGGCCGCACCTAAAAAAGAAGCAGACAGGCATCCACAACTGTTAGCAGGTTCTTTGGTGGGAAACGGGACATGTTGATGAATAGTCTATTTAGCAGGCTTTGCTACCCAAAGCAATACACAATTGAAAACAGCTTTTTTTTGGAGCAACTGGAGGTTGAGGCCCTTGCTCTGGGGCCCAACAGTAAAACAACTCTGCCAATTCTTGGATTTGAACCAGTGATCTTCTGATCACAGCCACAGTGGCCTAATTTGCCAAGCCACAAACATGACTATCAGTTAGAAACTGTGTCTAGTACACCGCAGGCCAAATTTACATCTATTCAGATGGCTCAAGTTACATGCAGGGACCCGCTTTAAGACTTCCCACCTGAACACAGCAGCTCGATCTTGGTGAGGTTCAGCTGTAAGGACTCATTGATCCATGCCAGCATGTCATGGCGACTCAAGTTGTCACTGGTGACTGAGGTGGAATAGACATTCACAGCCATCCTGCATCAGCTGCAACAAAGGGTGAGGGACGCTGGTTACGCCGGCGGCGTTCTACGGGACTTCAGGCCTTGGATACAGCACAGAGAATCCAGCACACCTGAAGAGGCAAACAGAAATTGAGGTGGGACCCAGCAAAAGCTGCTGAAACATCGGATAGATTCACACGGGCAAATACAGGCATTTAATAACGAGTCAAACAATAGTTAATGTATATCACGAATGTATACCACAATAAACTCCTCTGAACTAGACGAATAATAAGCCAAAAAGCGATTGTTTATAGAGTACTCGAGCGGTCATAGTCCTTGACCAGAATTAACCGGGGAGACGGAAACACCGTCGCAATGACAGCTGCGTCACCCACCCCGGAAGTGACGCATCCCCCGGCCCTGTGCGACCCGTGTGTCGTGCTCTGGTGCAAAACCACGTATATTACCGGGCATCCCCCTTTCCTCCCTCCGTATCGACCGCTGACAGCTCCCGGACACGCGACTGACGCCCGGATACAGCGCGCCGACCGGCTAACAAAAAGGCTCCGAGGGCTGGGTAGGCGGGAAATAACACATCCTCCCCACTAAGACACGCATTATGCGGTGGCCGCAGCAGGCTGCCCGTCACACCCCAGGCCCCCAGGCCCGGCCGAGGGACCGCCGGCCAATAGGAAACACCGGCGCAGCCTGAAAGGCCTGCAGTGATAGTGGAGATTTTTAATGACAAAAAACTAACAGAAGGAAGGGGAGAGGACATAAAACATAATTAAAGTGAGTAAATGATGAGAAATACTGTATACAAAGTAATCGAGGCGGAGACGGGAAAAACCCAAGCAGCCCGGTTCTCGCCTCGGCCGCTTAGCACCGGCTTCCCCACCGAAGTGAAGAAAGCTCCCCGAAACAGGGAGGGGTGTCTGTGGCTATCTGACCGAGGTCCATCCCACGGCCACCACGGCCTTAAAGCCGCAGACGTCGTCCCGATCCCACGCAGCAAAGGGCCGCCTGCCAAGGTCTCCGCGACGCCGCCGCCGTCGCTGTGAACTGGGCGGCTTTAGCACTTCCATATTGGCCGTCTGCCCCCCACCCCCCTCCAGCTAGCCGCGGCGGTTAGCTCCGGCAACCAGCATTCGCACCCAATGCTCCCCTGCGTCCGCCATTCAATCACTCTATCTTTCCCTTCCGCTTATGTTCCCACCCCCAACAGAAAAATAAGAACGGTAAAAAAAAAAAAAAAAGCCGCCCGCCTTACCCGCTAACTGAGCCGAGTAGCTGCGGACGTTGACTATACGTGAGGCGCGGTTTAAAACGTCCTTCTACAGAGAGGCTGAACTGTCTGCCGCCGGTGAGCTCCCTTGCTGCGTGCTGCGTCGCTCCGGGCGTTCGCTTACGTCAGTGCGTAACGGCACGGCGCCGCGTGCGGTGAGCCCTTCCTAACTACCACTGACGTCAGCACGTAACGGCGCCGTGGGGCGAGGCGTTAGTTTAACCACTCGGTAGCCGGACAATAGCGTCTATCGTTTACAATCGTGACAGCCCTACCTCTGATAATAGCGTACAATAATGAAAAACACCCTTTATTAAATAAAACAAAGCAGTACTATGGCAACATTATTTCTTTCTTTCTCGTTCTTTCTTTCTTTTCTCTCTCTTTCTTTCTTTCTTTCTTTCTTTCTATCGCTTTGCACCTCTGTAATGTACACACAACTATGGCGACGGTCTACTGTTTTTTGAACTTGCACGACCAAAATAACGCTGTAATTCTTTCATCTTAAATCAAATCAACTTCTGTAGTTAATTTTTTTAATTGTCATTTCTTTTGTACATTGTAGTGCAACATATAATATCTTGGAGTTACACAGTCACCCATATTTCTGAGACTGCATTGCAGGTTCTCCTGCTTTGTGCAGTCCAAAAACACACAGTTCAGGTGCATCCATAATGTATGTATGTATGTGTGTGTGTGTGTGTGTGTGTCCTGCAATGGAATTCCACCCTGCCCTGCATTTCTTAGTATATGCTTCAATCTGTGACCCCGACAAGCAGTTATGGAAATTAGAGGAATATGATATGTTTGCATTTTAATTGCTTTGATGGCATTTTTCTCTGCAGTGACTGTTTCTGGAGAGATTTAAGTTAGCAATATTTGTGTTAGTTTAAGTTCCCGATACTCCTGGTTATAAGATCTTGCCCCTAACCACTATCCTATCTGCTACCTGCATACATACACAAGAATTACAGATAAGAAATAAAGAATGTATTCTTGTATACATACTTGTGTACATATGTATAGAGGAATACATTCTTTATTTCCTATCAGTAATTTTCCCCTAAGAAGTGTGGTCATTAACACGCATAGTCATACCAATATGTAATTACTTGAAGACAATCTGTTCTAGTGCACATGCCCACACACACCCCAGAAATGTGTTTTTACGAATGTCTGCCAAATCAGCACCAGTGCCAGGGAATAGATCCGTAACACTGTGGATTGCGCAAACCACATTTTCCATGGGTTTCGGCAAAGAAGGATTTTGTCATTACGATCATCCCAGATGGTGTAGGTTATACGCTAAAGGAGCTGTATTTAAACAGCCCAGATAAACAAAGGTGTGTAAGAGGGCAAGAACTTCAATGCATTAACCTTCCAATACAATATCTTTAAAAATAAGTGTCTTATCCTATTGTAAATAGCATTACGTGCACTCTGGAGCAGGGACAGAATGCAAAGCTGGGAAAACACATCAAACACCCCTATCCCCGGCACTGAAGCTGCACAGGTTTGTGTGATCTGCTCTGTTCTCCCTACACAAGTGGCTGCATCTCAAGTCACCCAAACATTAAGCCCAGGCGACATGACTGGACTTAAACATCACAGAAATGAGTGTGCAAACAAGCGGGAGGTGGTGTCCTGGTGCAGTCATGACGATCTCCGTTGCCCAAAGAGATGATTTTGTATATTAGGAGGCTTTCACAGCCCTAACCATAGCCCCCACCACGTTCCATTACCACGACCAGCTCAGCGGCTAATACTGTCAAGTCCTTTACATTCCTGGGAACAACAATCTCCCAAGACCTTAGGCGGGAGAACAAAACTGACCAGAATATTAAGGAAGCACAGTAAACGATGTTCTTCCTGTGGCCACAGAAGAAGTTCACCCTCCCTCAGACTATGATGCTCCAGGTTTACAGTTCCATTGCACTCTTATTCGCATTCTGCTCTCTGACTGTTATACGTCACTGTGAGCGCCACTCTGAGACATATTAGTGTGAACTTGCATGGCCAATGAACCTCATTCTGATTTTGAAATACATGAAAAAAATGCATATTTTTCAGTGTAGGTACCACAATGCGGCCTAATATTCGGGCACCCGTTTCATCTTGATTTTTTACTTAAGCTTGCCAAGACTTATAAAAACTTGGGCAATTATTGCTGACGGATAAACTGCACAATGTTTACACAAACATCGCCGATGACACAGACTTGTGCCGCAGGGTCGCCATGGCAACGGTGCTGTCACTGTTCCCTGCGAATCACATGATGCCTAGCTCGCCAACTCTAATGCTGCATTCCTTTTGAAGTGCGAAGATGGAATTTCTGAGTCCCTAGTCAGAAATATCAACTCGGACACCCCCTGGAGTCTGACTTTCAACTTGGAAGGTTGGAGGAACTTTTACAACTCCAACCTCATAATTCAAGATGGCTGCTCCCTTCATCAGCGGCAAAAAGCTACAGTAAATAGCTGTTCCTACTGCACGTCTGTCTTATTCGTGGCTCATTAAATCAATCGTACACACAGTACTGCCAAATCTATATCCCTGGCGCATGTTGCTACGGTATTTTATGGGCAAAATACTGCGTAATGCATTGTTATGAACTAGCATTGCTAACAATAGCTAACGGTGAATCTGGCTAGTTGTATTGGAATGCCATTAACTCGTGGTGTGACATCATTACCAGCTCCAACCCATGAGGTAAATGGAGCTCAGAAATACTACCAATCCTGTACACACTGTGGCCCAGATGTTAGCACCCAATCAGCGTCTTGTAAAAAACCAGGTGAGGTCATGTGCAGTTCTATAACAAGGCAGGAAGCAAAAATACATTACAAAATTACTTCAACTTGGTTCTGAACTAGTGTGTCCTTGGTGGCGGGGGGGGGGGGTGTCCACTGTATCAGGAGGCTGTTTTTGTTCATTTTTCATGCCTGCTTCTTGTTCTGCTTTTCTGTTTGAACACGTGTCGCATTTGTTTTTCTGTTCATGAACCAAAGCAATGTTTGTGTCATTCTCTAACACCTGCAGTGTGACTTGTTTTCTTTCAGTAGTCTCTCTGGTCCCCGCTGAATCACCCTTTCATATTTTTGAGGATTTCCCTGCCTCTGAGCAAAACACTTGGCCCAGATATGTGGCTGTACAAACATATTTCTAAGGTTTAAAGTTCCCTTTGGAGAAACACTTTTCGCAAGATAAATGATAAAAATGAATCAACTGCTAAATTAATTGTACTGTGTGAAAGTTTGGTCTACCCTGGCCAAAAATACATGTTCTGTTGATTTTTGTAAGCAAAACAAAATTAACACATGCTCTGCACTGAAACACGTGATATATTCCTGCTAATTTTAATGCATAGTCACTTTTTATTCCCAGAAAACTGAAAACACTAAATGTGGCATGTGTAACAGTTTGGGCGCCCGGTCGGTCAGTGCTCAGTAACACCTCCTTTGGCAGAAATCAAATCGCAGCCTCCAATCATTTCTTGAAACCAGCTAATAGTCTTTCTATTCCTACTTTCTTCCTTGCAAACACTTCAAGTTCAAAACCATTCTTAGGTTGTCTTGTATTTGCTGCGTGTTTGAGATCTGCCCATAAATTTTCAATAACATTCACGTGCGGGAACTGTGAAGGCCATTAACATTCACGTGCGGGGGCTGTGAAGGCCAATAACATTCACGTGCGGGAACTGTGAAGGCCATGCCGTGGTTCATTTTGCTGTATTTTTTGGATCATTGTCTTGTTGGTATCTCCAGCCTAATTTCAGCTTCAGGTTCTACACAGGCTAATGGACATCAAATCTGTTGATACTTTGCAAAATCCATACTGCAGAATCCATGTCTTGCCCTGCCTCTCATGTCCACCTGATCCTCCTATCTCCTCCCCGCTGTGGCCCTACTAAGCCACGCCTGTTGCTTGTTGTATCCTTGTCAGGCATTGTATAGAAGTGCCAGTCTGTCCTGTCAGCTCCAGTCCAGTCATTGATGTTGTCCCTCCTGTTGCTTTGCCCTTCCCTGTTCTAGCCTCCATCTGATCCCAGGCCTGTCCCCTTGTGCTTTTCTGTTCTCCTGATTGAACCCCTCACTGTCCCATTTTGTTTCTCCCTTAGCCAGTTGTGTATCGTCTAATAAAGCCCCCGTCTCTCGAGTCATACCTTTCCTTCAGATGCACATCTGAGTTTAATAGTTAAAAAGGTCTTTTTATCTTGAAATGCTTTTTTTTCTCCAGACATACCTTCAGTGACTGAAGCCCGGTGGTCATCAACTCTGATCCTGATCTGTATCAGGTATGTTAAATCAGGGCTGCACCTAAGCTCTGCAGGGTGGAAGATCTCCAGAAGCAGGGTTGGTGACCACTGCTGTAGACAAAGTGTTCAATTTTAGCTTCGTCAGACCACAGCACTTGGTTCCAAAAAGCACTTTGTTCAGACGGTGGACCGATACTACTCCTAGCTAAACTTTCCAGAATGTTCTTTGCAGTGATATGGGGCTTTCGCTTGGGTTTCTTGACCAGTCTCAGAGCTGATCTGTTAGAGCATTCTTGGTCTTCCAGATCTTGCCATAGGTTTTAACAGTTCCTCTTGATTTCGATTTCTTAAGATAATTCAGACAAAGGAAATTGCAAACCGGAAATTATTTTTACCAGGTGTGTTGTGCAAACCAAATTTATGGATAAACACCATTTCAAAACCACACACACAAGGCATAAAAAATACATAAAAATACATTAATAGATACCCGATAAATGAAGTATGCAAGTAGCAGTGTTACATTTAGCTTGTTGACTAACTAGTTAAAGTCAGTCCGAAAATAGTTTGCTAGTTGTGTTCAAAATACATGACAGGGAGATGGAAAA